CTCTGCCATCCTCAGTGCGTTGGCTTTTGGTCTTTGGCAGCTCTGAGCATTTTGTTTCACCCTTACATAAAATGCCAGAAGGAAAAGGGCTTTCTGTTAGGGCACTTCTAGCAGTATGTTCTGTTGAAGGTATGAGTGTGTACTCTGCTAAAGTAGAATCAAAGAGACGTATTGAAGGTTCAAGGTAGTTCAAGCCAGGGAAAACATAAGGTCCATAGAATGAAATCAAATGCATATTTATAGGGCAAGAACAAAAAACTTAAGGTACACTACTTTAATTGGGTGTTACAAATTTAGATCAGCATAAGGCGAGATTACCTGAAGCAGGGAGTGGAAGGGATTGGTTTAAAGTACATGTGTCCTTCTTAGATTGGTCATAAAGTGATAATGGCAAAAGCACGTGACTAAAGTGGGGTTGCAGGGTGGTCACAAGATAATTACAGGACATTTTTTCCTTAGAAACAGCTTGCTCAAGAGAAACCTTTCCTGTGAATATTTGCGTAGGAGATTTAAAAAGGGTCTGTGCCAAAGTCTTTCTTCAGAAACATTTTTTCTACATCCTCAACTTAGAAAAACATTTCCTCAGATGCATGATTAAGTCTGTACAAAGGTTAACAGTTGCTAGGCTTCAAGCAGATGTGAGAGTTCCGTATAGGATGGAGTCTGAACTCAAATCCAGGCCAGCGATTTTAGTTTTGTCAAGTACCTCAACTTGAATGCTCTCACGCAGTTTTTCAGAGCTCATTGACCAAAACTGGGTCCTGTGCTCCCTGCGTGCCCTAGCCTCATTTTAAGAGAGCCAGGGAAAGCAAGCATCTGACAAAAAGAAATGGGATTGACACGATTAGTTTAGACCTGTCATCATTCATCCTTCAGAGCTGGGCATGCCGTTGCTTCAAACAGAACGGAGGTTTTCTCAGCTAGAAAGGAAGGGGAGGGGCTGTTATGTAGGCCATGAAATTTGTCTACCGCAGTGAAAGATGTGTTTGTCCTTTGATCCAGCCTTTTCAATTCTAGAAATGTATCTAGAACCTATTCATGGGCAAACACAAAGATTTAGCTCCAACGATGGTCATTGCAGTGATTTTTAAAATAGTAAAAAATGGAAAATGCTTAAATGTGTGATGATAAGGGGTTATTTATATAAACAATAGAATATTCACCCAATGGAATATTATCAGACCTTGAAAAATAATGCAGAAGATTATTTTGTGACATGGAAAACATTCATGATGTAATATTAAGTGAAAAAAAGCAGGTTACGAAACTTTGTAATCAATATGAGTCCAAATGTGTAGACTATATCTGTATTATCTACACCTATATCCATTTATCCTGAAAGGATATGTACTAAAATATTAATTGTGAGTATCTCTACCCAGGAATTATGCATTTCTTTTCTTTAACATTACTCTTTGAATTGTTGAAATATTCTATACTGAACCTGTACTTCTTTTTACCCCAAATTTTCATTTTGAAAAATTTCGGATATGCAGATAAACTGTTACAGTTGCAAGAATAGTACAATGAACACCAATTGCTACCATTTAGACGTATTTTCTTTGTAACTGTCTATACGTATACATAGGTGTATGTATTTATAAGGTCCCTGGGTACTGCAAATGGCTTGCCCTCGACTATTAACCTAAAGATTGGCAGTTTGAACTCACCCAGTGGCACCACAGAGTAAAGGCCTGGCGTTCTGCTTCTGTTAAGATTACAGCCAAGAAAACCTTATGGAGCAGTTCAACTCTGTAACACATGGGGTCACCATGAGCAGGAATCGACTCAACAGCAAGGGGTATACATTTATATGTTGTGCAAAACCATTTCAGGATTAATTGAAGACATCATGAGACTTTGCCTCAAAGTACTTCAACAAGTATGTTTTAAAAACAAAGACATTCTCCTATATAAGCACACTTAAGAAATTTAATATTTTTACAATATTATTATCTAATATAAATATTTATATTTACATTTCCCCACTTGCCCCAATA